TCTTGAGGAGAAGTCTGACAATATTTGTTAGCGGTAAGAGAATGTATTTTTAGAGGTAGATTAAGGTCATTTTTTGGGGTGCTTTTGTCATGCCAAAAGAACTTTCTACTTGAAAATTTAAATTTCCAAAGCACTTGTTGGGCCAAGGTTCTTTGAGTGATTGGCCGAGAAACGATAAGTACTAGTACCTAGCATCAAAATGTTCTGTCATTAAGCATTTTTTTACCAGTGCTTATAATTAGAGACCCCTAAGTGGAGGCCTCATTGGCTGAGGCTCGCAGTCTCTTAACACGTACCTAAGATTGCTGGTTCAAATCTGCAAGTGAACTTATTAAGGAAAAACTTTGGTGTCTCCAATGTCTGCACAAGGGGCAGGTGCGAATTTTGAAAAGAGAAGTGCTTGTAATTAGAATACTTCTGCTCTTATTCCGGAAGCTCTACCTAACAACATTCTAAAGCTAAGAATGGTTATGTTCTTAGGGGGCAAAGGCAAGAGAAGAAAAAACATGACGTAATTGCAACGAAGCATTCCTTATAAGGGTGTGGAAATTTCTCCCTAGAAGACGCGTTTTAGAAACATTGAGGAGAAGTCCGAAAGCAAAAGCCTAAAGAAGACAATATTTGCTAGCAGTGGGCTTGGAGTGTTACAACCTAAGACCCCAAAAGGAACGGGAAAATGCCAGAAAAAGTTCATAACTAAAAGTTAAAATTATATCAGCTAACATGGTTTGAAAGAATAGCGTTGAAGGACCAGAGAGTAACTGAGAGTTGATAATTGTTGACGGAGAATGGGGGAGGAAAATTATGCCATGCCCTTTTTCTTTAAACTCTTTTTCCAGAGTTCTCCTATTTATGCAATCATAATTATTTGAATATCAAATTATTCCTGAACAAGGACGGGTCAGGGATGGATAGCAGAATCCATTTCCGAACCCAAGATCATCGTCTTACTGGTCTATATAAATCTGTGAAGGTTTTGTTCACAGAAATTGACTGTGTACTATGTGTTCTGTGAATTAAACAACAATCATTATCTCAATTTGTTTAGTCCATACCTACCACCTTCTTCTGGTGTTAAACATCCAAGAGTTTGTCAATTTTGTATGTGTTAGTTTATCTTTTGATGGACCCTGCTTGGTTGGATATCTCTCTCTTAGGAATCTTTCGGTTCACCTTTCTTATGGAACAAGTGAAGTCTTTTGATAGTCTGGTCTTCTCTAATCCCTATATCTAGGACGTTTTGATAACTAATCATGCTTCGTTCGCACCCCCAAAAGGATTTCTTCTTTTCCTTGGAATATTATAGGATGTACCTGTCTACTTTGTTCATCACGAAAAAATCGAAAAGTACTAAAAATATAGTGAACTCTGCTACAGGTTACATGTGAATTGAAAGGAGAACAGACGATATAGATTTTTTTAGTTTTTTAGTGATAAGAAATGTATGAACTGTATAATTTAAGTTCTTGTTATATTGATATGGCAGCACGATATGAATGCTTCATGAACATGTAAAGGATGCATGATCAACTGAAGTATGCATAAAAATGGAATGTGTTAAGGATTGTACGATGCTTATGGAGCAGAAGCAGGCTCAATTTCACATGCTAATTTACCTGCTACTAGCGCTAGATTCATAGCCTAACCTTAAATTCACATTTGTGGATCCCCAGGGTGTATGTGGCTGCGATAGATTCAAAAGCGGGTCGATAGAAGACGTCGTTAGGACAATACTCAAGAAGGACGGATATCGAGGGCTTATGAGGGGATGGGTTCCAAGGATGCTCTTTCACGCTCCGGCTGCTGCTATTTGCTGGTCGACATACGAAGCGATAAAATCTCTGTTCCAAGAGCTCAATGGCAGCAGTGACGAAATGACATGAAAATAGGAAGCAGAGAGGAGCGGGTCATATTCGTTCTTCTTTTACTCTTATCCCTTTTTTCCCTGCTATTGCAACAAAGACGCCTTTTTTGTTGGAGCTGCGTAGAATTTTGCAGGAGGGATTGTCTCAAAGGGCGAATGCTACCACTTATAGTCAAAGGAGTACGTATCAAATTCAGCTTATAATTTGTATTCTACACGTTGCTGATGGTTCTAGTAATGTCGTATATAAATTTTTTCATCTGTTTCTTTCTTTGTTTTGATGGTTCTGCTGGCTTTAGACTTGTTTTATTTAGAGTCGCCCTGTGCTATATTAGATTCTTGCTAGTTGAGAACTCTCAACTTTTCAAAAATGTAACCACACAACTCCACGGCTAATAAATATTATCAGTTTTGGTTTTGTTGCGTATCGTCGTTAGTCTCACAGTTTAAAAATGCGAATATTAGAGAGGTTTCCACTCCAACCGATGTGGGATCTCATAATCCACCTCTTTGGAGGTCGGCGTTTTTTGTTGGCACATTGCTCAGTGTCCAGATCTAATACCATTTGTAACATTATGAGTTCACTGCTAATAGATATTATTAGTTTTGGTTCGTTACGTAGCGTTGTTAGTCCCACGGTTTAAAAATGCAATTATTAGAGAGGTTTCTACTCTTCAACCGATGTGGGATCTCATAATCCACCTCCTTGGAGGCTAGTGTTTTTTTGTTGCCATACTGTTTTGTAACATTACAAGTTCACTGCTAATAGATATTATCAATTTTGGTTCGTTACATATCGTCGTTAGCCTCACGGTTTAAAAATGTAATTATTAGAGAAGTTTCCACTCACAACCGATGTGGGATCTTATAATCCACTTCTTTGGGGGGTCAGCGTTTTTTGTTGGCACACTGCTCGATGTCTGGATCTGATACCATTTGTAACATTACAAGTTGATTGCTAACAGATATTGTCCATTTTGTTACAAGTTCATTACTAAAAGATATTGTCCATTTTGTTACAAATTCAATGCTAACCGATATTGTCCATTTTGTTACAAGTTCATTGCTTACAGATATTGTCCATCTTGTTACAAGTTCACTGCTAACGGATATTATTCATTTTTGCTTGTCATGTGTTGTCAGTCTTATTTTAAAATGTCTATATTTTAAAATGTTTTTTTACTTCCTCTAATTAAGATGGGTTACAAAATGTTCCTCTAAAAGGGTATGTAATATTTAATATTATTAGTTGAGTAAGTATAATTAATGTAAAGATTATTAAGTAATGATGATAGTTTTGACTAATTAATCAGATTCCAAAAAGCGTAACTCTCCATTAACGCATTAATGTTGGGTTAGTGAAGAGCATTCAATTGAAATTTGGTGCCCAAAAAGTCCTTTGACCCTCCATAAAGTTTATTCCCTTAATAAATATATTAATTTATATATTTTCCTTCCATCCGACGGCCACCATCCAATCTCCCCATCTCCAACGGCCCACATTCCTCAAGATCGTAGTCGGCAAGCGTATTTAATATTTATTTCTTTTTTAATTATTATTAATTCAATTGATTTAACTAACTGCCTAAAATTATTTGTTTTTCTTCTTATAAAAATGCCTCTCTTTGTTCCTTTTCTTCCATGGCTTTCCGGGTTTCGCCTCGCCCGCCGACATGGTGCTCCGGCAGCCGGCAGTAGCACGGGAGAATCCGTCAAGCTCAGGAGGGATAGCGCCGTCGAATAAAACACCACCGGAATGTTCATTTCCGCCGCCGCTTGCCGGCGCTATCTATCCTGAGTTTCATGGCTTCTTCTTGCTTTTTACAGCTCGGTTTTCGACAGGTATTTTTTTTTTTTATCTTTCTTTTCCATGGCTGTAAAAAATATACGGTGAAATTTTTTTTACAAAAAGATTTAATTCACGCCATTAGAGGACACGTGTACGGTCGGATGGAGAGGAGTGGAATGGAAATTAATTATGAATAATAAACTATATCTGTCGAGTTATTTTTAAAAAATATTATACGTTATGAATATAAATTAATTGATTTTAAATTTCACAAGTAATTTTAATTAAATAATTAACTGTTTTATTAAAAATAAACAAAGATTTATATTGAATTATAGCACCCAAAGTTTTCTTGAATTAGTTTTAATGAATAATTAATTAATGGATCTAATATATTTACTTAGTGTATTTGTGAGAATTAGTTATATTAATATTTTTTTAATAATTTAAATAGAAATGAAGTATTTAATACATTATTTTAATTTATTTTATTATAGTTTTGTCAATTATTAATTCAATAAAATATGTTTTGAAAAGTTAAGTCAATTGGATAACATTAACAATTATAATATTAAACATATAAAGAAAGTAATAAAAGCAATTTTTTGTTTGATAACATTTAATAATATAATTTTTTATTTTTATTTTATAAATTAAATTAAAACTTAGTTCTTCAATTTTTTAAACATATCCAATAAAAATAAATAAATTAAATAATCTATTTAACGAAATATGTGCTTAAAAAATTGAATCATTCTAATTTATTGAATATAAAATTAAAATTTTATGACGCAATAAACAATTTAAAAAATTTAAATTTAAATTTGTAATTTCATATTATTATAATTATTAATTTAATATGAAATCGATTTACCCATTGTACCCTTCATATTTTGATGGGCCCTCCCTATTAATGGGTCGTGCTGGGCCCATTACACGCTTCCCAGTTGATGGGCCTGGGCCTGCGGAGCCCCGATTTCCTCTTTTTCCCGGACCTTGTTTTAACTAGTTAATTGTTTATATTTTTATTTACTTTTTATAATAAAAATGTTTAAATGGTTTTAATTTCTTATTATTTAATTAAATAAAAAATAATAGTAGTAGTTTCAATGTAAATTTATATATAATTTTAATATACTTACCATTTTTAATTAAAAATAATTGAAATAATAATAATAATAATAATTTCATTATTTTTTAAACTAAAATTTATAAATATATTTTTAACGTATAATAGTAATTTGCCTAATAAAAATTTATTATTATTATTTTTTCTATGATTTTTATTCGAAACAGAAAATTAAAGTCACCAATATATTTTTAGTATAAATAGCCAAAAATATAATAAGAGCGGTAATCAGTGTTAGTGTTCGCCTGTTAACTCCACGGTGGATTTGGTTCTCGGAATGTCGTCGGCGTAAAATTCCTGCATAAGTTTGGACTGTCGCCGGTGTTGAGAACGGTGAACATTCACCGGAAGTCCATCGACTCGCATTACGCCTTTCCTCTTCTTCTCCGGGTGGTAGGGTTGGAACTCTCTCTCTCTTTCGCTCATTTCTGATTCGTTGTCACAGTGTACATTACGATCGAGTTGATACCGTCATTCGAAACAGTGCTTTTAACCAATTTCGTAGGGCTGGAATTAAGGATCATGCGAAACGTAGGGTTTTTTCTTTCTACAACTCGTCTAATGCGATTTTGTACTGTATTAGTTCTGATGTGAATTCTTCACCTGTTTCATCGCGCTCTCTAAATTTCAATCGCTTCGTTTTCTCATACAAGGATCTGAGTGTCCGTTTGTAGCTAGCAATGGATGATGATGCTACAAATTCATTCCGACGCATGTCGAGTCGCACTCGGAAGGTTGCTCCTAAGATGGTTGCTGCCCTAGCGAGCAGCGACAATCGTTCTCAGGTTTGTCGAACTAGATTTTGCTTCTTTTTTGTGAGTTATTTGTGGTATAATTGATTAACAAGAGCCTGAACTCTACCTACAATCTAAGTTTTAGTATTGGATTTTCTGCTCTTCCAGGCTGCCCTTGCTCGTCTCGAGGCGTTGGAAAATGACAACGCTGGACTGGAATTGATCGAAAACATTGACGACGAGGATGCTTCTCTCGATGATGACGAACAAGGTTAATACGATGTTATTCATTCATATATTTTCCGCCTTGGCATTTATTTTTCTAGTACGGTGTTTTCTTCAATTACATCTATCAAATGTTAGGCATCTAATATTTTCCCATTCCTTTCTGTACTGCTTATTTTCCCGATTCCATCAGTTAATCTAACGTGTAAGTAAGTCAGCATGGTCAGTGACCGCTTTCTTCACTCCCGAGTGGCATTGCTTTTGGTAGTTCGATTCTTGTTATTTATAATTCCAGATATTGCTTAGGCTTTAGACTGTAGTGTATGCTCGAGAAATTTTCATTTTCTCCATCTTTAGAATGGCTATATTTCTGTTATGTATTGGTAGATGGCCATTAACGAAATTCAGATATTGCTTTGGCTTTGGAATTTTAGTACTCGTTAATTGTCCAAGTACTTGCAATGGTACTTGAATTACTAATCAGTCACCGAGGGTGAGATATTCTAGGCTCATTCATGTGGATTTTTCTAGGGATCTTACAATTCCCGACTGTTGGGACGATAATGGAGAGGGATGGAATCTGCATTTAATAATAATGCAGCTCTTCGAACTAGAATTTGGTGGTTGAGTCAACTTACTTCCTTGCTACAAATTGTTGCCGATCTAATTAGCTAGAGGATAGGTGGAGAAGTAATTTAAAAGACTGGTGATATGATTCTCTTAAGTCTTGGACAAGTTCTGCTGATAGCCGGTTTTCTTATTAGTTTGAACTGGTGGCTTTTGTGTACGAGTGGTGCTGAAAAGACCGAGATCATGTTTTTCTTAGCGGTGGGAAGCTTATAAATGTGGAACGGGAGTGTGTTTGAGTTGGTGTCTTTCTCAAAATTCCTAGGACAATATCACGAAGTCAGCTGTTGCATAGTCGCGTATGTTGGTGAAGAGCCAAGTTGGTGTGGGCTAATTGTCGTCGACCTTGGGAAGGAATAAAAAAGCCATAGGATTTCCATTGGGAAGTGTCGCGATTTTAAGAGATTTGAGATTTCATCATTTTCTTGGTATCATCTTGGTGATCTCATTTCCACTTATTTGGAACTCTTCTTCCTTTTTTTTTTTTTTTTTTTTTTTTTTTTTTTTTTTTTTTTTTTTTTTTTTTTTTTTTTT